ATGGACAAAAGGAAAGCTATGCAGAAAAAGTAAAATAAAATAAACTGCAATAAGAAAACAAAAGATAAAAAGAAAGAAAAAGAAATTGCAGACATAGTTAATACTGCTTGGCAAAGAAGGAAACCTCAAAAGTTATAACAAATGCTTTTCATTTTGACAATAACAATTTTGACCCTGAATCAACTACATCATATCAAGAGGGTTAAAACAACATCCCCTCTCATTACCAAGAGAGATGTAAGCCACCAGACAATTTCTTATTGCATAAATAACCACAAGTTATGTCATGAAGTCATACAAAAAATGAAGTTATCATTACTTCAATTTACCTGGATTTGACATCATATAAGGATGGAGGGAGTAAGGAAATTATGATGAGAGGGAGAGAGAAAGAGACATAAAATGAAACTGAAACTGAAAACAAAAGCCCAGACTAAGGAGGAAGGAAGGGGGACAGATAGATATACTGATAGATAAAGAGACAGACAGGTTGGTAGAGATAGATAGACAGAGAGGCAGGCAGGTAGACAAGACAGACAGGTAGAGTAAGTTATGTCACAAGTTTTATGTCCTGAAGATTTACGTCATGAAATGATGTAATGAAGCTGAGGAAGTGACATCATATTTGCTTTCAAGATGTCATAAAAGGAAGTGATGTCATTTTACAGCTACTATTTTCCATGTAACAGTAAATAACCTCACATAAAGAAGTGATGTCAGTACACCAGGCTTTCATATGAATGGTCATGTTATGTGACATGTGACCAGGTTGCTCTGACCTCACTGGTTACTGTTAATTCCATGTTCTCTGCCAGGTTCAAGTGCAAAAATTTTCCTGTATATATAGAGGTGCTTGCACATCATTCATTACTTGCTTTCACAATACCTCGTTTTGCCAGCATTCAAAGATGCTTCTGCTCTTCCTTCCCAGACATCGACATCATCGGCACCTCCTATCAAGGTGCTTTGGTGTCATCCATCACACCAATCTCTTTATTCCTCCTGGTCTCCCTCCTTCTGCAACCTCTCCTCTAAGGAGAATTGAAGTGAGTGGTTGCTGAGTTGGGCGCAGGACAATGTTGACCTGCGGTTCAAGGTGTCCGGTTTGGAGGACAAACTGGTCTCCCAGGTCGATACCACACTCGACAGCAACAAGCCCCTCTCCAAAGTGGCCACCCAGCTATTACAGAGGATTGCTCCTGGGACTAAGAGATTCGTTTGGCAGCAGAAGGAGAATATCCTCGGGAGTTTTAGGTTCAAAGGTAGTCCTGGAGCCAAGTTCATCCTGGACATCTCCAACACTCTTGGAGATCCTTAGCAGTATTTTCACTGACGATCTCCTTGATCACATAGTCAAAGGGATTAACTGGTGAGTTTTGTTAATATTCTTTTTGTGTACTTTTCAGTTGCACTCATTTTGAGGAAATATCTGCTGCATTGAGTAAACATAATGCATTACTTTTTTTTCCACTCCCACAGGTATGTAGCCTGCTGCCCACCCTCCTGCTGTCTTGCCTCACAAGAGGAAGTTGAACACACACTTCCAGGCAGGAGGTCCTTGCATGCCTTGGGATCCACATGATAACAGGGATGGTGGATTGTCCCAATTGTCACAACAACTGGTTGAACAACCATGTCTTGTGTCACAAACTTGTTGCTGAGGTTATGACCAGGGATCAGTTTGACCAGTTCATGACTCATCTCCATTTGACCCACTTTGTGCTCCACTCCCAGAGGACAGGATGTGAAAGCTCTGACCAGTTATGGATACTCTCAATGACTTGTTCTGATCGACCTTTGTGCCGGAGCTGGACATTATCATCGATGAGCTTTCAAGATTTTCAACTCAAGCAAGAGGGTAAAGTTCTGGTTGAAGGTCTACAAGCTCTGTGGCAATACTGGCCTAGCAGCAGGGTACACCTCTTGTTCAGGATATACATCAGGCAAGACTGTGGCAAACATGCCCTCATCCATGCAAGCCGTGTTTCATTTGATGGAGACTGGCAGCTTCCTTAAGGAGGGATACTGGCTGGTTGTGGACAACTGGTACATGTTGCACTTCTCTTTTACATGTTGCAGGGACATGAGACAAATGCAATAGCGTCAGCCCAGTTGAACAGGATACTTATGGCAAAGGGTCTCAAAGTGAGGAGGAAGGGTGATGTCGGCTACCGCAGCAGCAAGACAGGCTTTGCAGTGGAAGGACCGCAACGCTGTCACCATACTGTCTATTGCCCGCACTGCTGCAATGGATGGGGATAAGCCATAAGTGGTAGCTGATTAAAACATCAGCATGACAGGGTTGATGTTGGCCAATGTCAATGCCTGGGCTGTCCATTGTGGTCTGGGTGGAGAGGATTTGCAAAGGTTCATCAGAGTAAGCCTCTTGTCTGAGATTCTAGGGGCTTCAGAACTAGTGCTAATGCCCTTAGGAACTGGACTGCAACAAGACCACCTGTTGCAGAGGGGTGGGCCCTACAGCAGCGATGGCATGCTGTAG